TAATTTTAAAAACAGCAAAAAATATCCACCTCCCTTTCCCTTTCTTATAAGGAGTCCTGAAGTTGAAATCTCCTCGGTGTGATAGATATGCTTGCTTTGATCTGCTTAGCTCTTGGAAGTCCAGGGGCTCCGGACTGCTGGCCCCGTGCTGCCCGGGGTCCCTAGGGACAGCTCTGTCCATCATTAGGGAATTTTTCCCCAAGAACCCCCTGTAACATTCAGGGCCGGCTCCAGGCACCACCTTCTCAAGCAGGTGCTTGGGGCGGCCGCTCCGGAGAGGGGCGGCACGTCCAGGTATTCGGCGGCAATTTGGCGGACGGTCCCTCACTCCGCCTGGGAGCGAAGGACCTCCCGCCGAATTGCCGCCGCAGATCGCAATCGCGGCTTTTTTGTTGTGTTTTTTGTTTTGGCTGCTTGGGGCGGCCAAAACCCTGGAGCCGGCCCTGAATGTTACAGGGGGTTCTTGGGGAAAAATTCCCTAATGATGGACAGAGCTGTCCCTAGGGACCCCGGGCAGCACGGAGCCAGCAGTCCGGAGCCCCTGGACTTCCAAGAGCTAAGCAGATCAAAGCAAGCATATCTATCACACCGAGGAGATTTCAACTTCAGGACTCCTTATAAGAAAGGGAAAGGGAGGTGGATATTTTTTGCTGTTTTTAAAATTAAATAGGCAGCTAGTATTGTTTTTAGAATTATGAAGGACAAGTTTAAGCTTTGTTGTAACGTGCGCTGTTTGCCTGGACCGCTCAAGACCTGAATGCTTGTGTAGGAGGAACTCCGAGTTGGCTTCTTAAATCCCTTCATGCTGTTTCACATCTGATACTCCTTGATGAAACCTAGGAGCCTTGTCTTATAACAGGCTTATTCAAAGTGATACAAGCTACGAAAGTGAGATCTTGGAAGAGTGTTGCTGTTCTCATAATGTGATAAAAAGACTGTAATGATAAATACTAAATAAATAGTGTGTAATAAGCATGTCGTAAAAACAAATGTTATATTGCTTTTATCATTTATATGCAGGTAAAGGAGAAAATCCCTGGAAATATTCATTTTTAGGAGGGGGTTCGGGAGACTTGACATTTTAGTGATAAGGGTTGACAGGTTGTTAAAGTTTGGGAACCACTGGCCTACACCATGTCAGCAGGAAAGCCAAGCTCCCCTCTCACTGAGGTGCATTGGCAGTTCATCCACAGAACAGGCGCAGTATGGCCAGTGACTTGCCCCACAATGCACCACGCCTGGCCTGGAGGGGACTGCTTTGGGGGTGAGCAGGAAATTCATTCTTTATGCCTATCCAGCCCTTGCGAGCAAGAGAGGCAGGTAGCGACATGGACCCGGATTTACTCCCTAGGAACTGGGCTGAGCCCCATCAAACTCGTTCCACACAAGGCCGTCATCTGTCAGACAGTAACTTGCAGTCACTACTGACCTAGGCAGGAGATGAGCTGGCACCAGAGGTGGGAAAGGCTCTTTACCTCGTTAGCCTATCTCCTGAGCCACTCAGTCCATCACATTAATACTTAATCACCTTTTCTGGTTCTCTCTTAGCACCTTTGAAAGGTTGCCAGGGCCATGACTAAGTGCTTGGCCTGCCCTTTCAGTAAGGCCAGGACCTCCCTGCAGTGTGCTTAGATGCCCTGATCTTACTTGCTGTGACAGTAATGGGAATGGGTTCCTCTCATTGGGAAAAGGAAATGTTGTTCTTATCACTGGGCTTCTATATGTCTCTATGTGGGAGGCAGTGTGGCCTAGTGGATAAAGCACCAGACTGGGATCCAGGAAACCTGGGACTCTATTCACAGGTCTGTCCCTGGCCTGCTGGGTGATGTTGGGCAAGTCTCCGTGCCTCGGTTTCCCCATCTGTAAAATAGGGAGAATGCTCCTGCCCTCCCTTGTAAAGCACTTTGAGAACGACTCGATAACAGCTAGGTGTTCTTCTATCTACCTGTGGTTTCATAGAGCCCTCTCGCTGCGGTATCTGTGCATCTCCCAGACATTATGAAGTTTATCCTCCCAGCCCCTCTGTGCTGTGACCGACGATCAATATCCCCATCACAGGTCGGGGGATGCAAGAAATTAAGTGCCGTGCTCAAGGTGCCCCAGGAACCCAGATCTCCCCGAGGGAAGCGGTGATTCTGCCTCTCCAGACCGGCTGCCTTTCTGGAAGAGACGCTTTAGCCACGCGCCAGTTGCTGGCCTCCACACAGGGGCAGCCGAGTGAAATTGAATGGCCTGTGATAGACAGGTCAGACTAGACGGTTGTCTAGTCTTTCCTTCACCTCTCTGAAACGACGACTCTCCTGAGTCTCCGCTCAGTGCCTTTGTGCCGCGAGAGGATGGCTCCTTTGGATGTTTCACCGCTGGTGTTGTCACGACTGAGTCCCCATGTGCCAGCAATGGCCTCGCCACATTACCTGGGCTGCCACTCCATTGCCCTCTGCTCAGAGCAAGGAGCTGCCGGCGGCATCTGCTGGTCAATGGTGACATTTCAATGGCTGCACTCCTGGGGGCTGAAAACCCTCCCCCCGGTCCCCGAGGCTGTGGAGGGACGGGCCAGGATGGGTGCCCCAGACTTGCCTCATCCTCCGCCTGGGCCAACTCCTTCTTCAGCTCCTCCACCCGCAGACGCAGCTTCTTCACCTCCGCCTCGTGCTGCTCCACCCGGCGGTTGGCGTGCGCCAGCTCGGCCGTCTTCTCCTGGTACTGCTTCTTCAGCTTGCCGTGGACGTGCTTCAGGTCGGCCAGCTCCTGGAAGGGCAGTGGGAGGGGTTAGGGACAGGCCGTGCCAGGGTCTGCGGGCTGGGGCACAGGACTCAGGATGGGCTACGCCAGCCATTGTATTAATCATCTGCCCTCCTCTGGCCGCTTTATCCACGGATCTGAAAGCACTGAACAAACACTAGTGCATGAAGGCTCCTACGAGCCCTAGTGGAGGGCTAAGAATCGTCTCCCCTCTTTTACAGATGGGGGAAGTGAGGCAGAGAGAGGGGAAGTGACTTACTCAGGGTCACACAGCAGGGACTAAAACCTCTCAGTCCCCTACCTGCACCACTGCCTCTCCTCCATACTTGCTCTGAAAAACTTATTACCCCAGGTCTCTCCAGGACGGGGGTGTGAACAGGTTTCAAGGGGTCGCAAGCACTAGGGAGAGGGGTTATTAGAGAGGTGCACAGCATCATTAATAGAAGGGCTTTCTTTATGGCTAGAGGAGAGGGGCACCCCAAAACTCTGCCTGGAAGAGGCCCGGGCCCAATGTTCTCTAGTAATGGGTACTGACTGGAGTGAGTGAGCAGAGCTCCCAACGGTGCTACTGCGGGCGATCGAGCTATTGCTGCTTTACCCTGCGGGGTTAGACTGAACAGTCACCCACATCTCAAACCAAACTCAAACATTGACTTTTGAGATTCCTAAGTTCAGGAGACTTCCCCTCCCCCAAGCTCTCGTGTCTCTGCATTTCCCGATTGCTCTCCAAATACCAGCATAGCACAACCTCCAGGAGTTCCACCCCAGCTGATGTCCAGTCCCTTATCGCCACCAGAAAGGTTTGGGAGAATGGCCGTTCCAGGGGAATTGCTAGTGGGGGTCACAGCTACACCTGGACAAAGCCACCTTTGTTCGTTTCCCATCTGCCCACCCACAGGGCTGGAAATATGACGGACTCTCCAGGGGAGGAAGCACCCGATGATGGTTGAACCTCAAACAGGGGATTTTGCTTCAGACATGCAGCCCGAAAGGTGCATCCAGAACTTATCTGAGTTCTGCTTATAAACGCCTCTGGCTGGAAACCTCAGGACTGGATCGTCTCGTATTTCAGCAGCTCCTCTCCAGAGGCAGTCAGGACCAGGTCATGCAGAAACACATGGACCTCGACCACTAATGGGGTCAGGTTAACTGAGCTGTCACACCTCACAGCAGCAGCAAAAGCCGGGGTGGGTTTTTATTTAATTGGATCTAGTTCTTCCATCCCTAAAACCACGTGGGTTTTACGTCCATGGTAGCAGCCTCCTTTCCTCCCTCCCCCTGCAATGACACTGGGTGCCCGAGCCCAAGATGCAAAGCAACCCCCAGAAACCCCCCACGATCACCTAGCCGGACTCTGGGCATTGTCCATGTGATGACTGGAGGTGTCGCGGCTTCTCTCCCTGGATGAAGGCGGCTGGGTTCCTCTGATCCCCTTTCCACCTCCCCCCATTGTCCTCTCGGTGAGATCCCAAAGGAGCAGAGGAGAAGCCCACAAACACTGTTTAGCCTCCTGAGCTTGAACCCCGCCCTGAGGTCTCTCCGGAGGACACTGAGGGTGGGATGGAACATGGAGATGAGTTTTAATGGCTAGGAGCCTAGAGCCAACTGGGGTGTTACTGGGAGCATTCCTAGCCCCAGATGCTCTCTAATATCAAAGGGCCCAATTCATCCCGGATCAATGGGGTTACCCGAGGCAGGAATTCCCCCCCTCAAGGCTGTGACAGCAAAGGCTGACCACGGTCGCTTGCTATGCCCCTGCTGCTACTGACGTTCTGCCCAACAGCCTCACCTTGTTCTTCTCAAAGAGCTCGGCCTGGATGGTTTTGAGGTCCGTGTCCAGCGCGCTGGCCGTCTGCCGGCGCTTCCGGGCCAGCACCTCCTCCAGGTCCTCAATCTGAGCCCGCAGCTTCTTGTTTTCCCGCTCCAGGTTCAGCTTCTCTGTCTCCAGGCGCTCGCGCTTCCCCCACTCCGCCGCGTTCTCCGCTTGCAGCCGCTCCATCTGGGTGATGGGGAGGGGACACACACCACGTCAAACCACGCGGTTGTCATGTGTTAGTGACCAAAGGGCATCCTGGGGAGCCCTTAGCTATCCCATCGGAGAGTGATGCCCCTCACGGGTCATCAGCAAGGCTAGATCCAGGGCCTGCAACACACTCCTTAGCTGAAGCGGAAGAGGCCTAACTCCCTTGGCTGGCGGCAATAGTAGACTCTTTTCTCTGCGGGCCAGCCAGTACAGGGAGATATGCCCACACCTCTTAGCCGGTGGCTAAAGTAACATCCCGCATGGAGTAGCACAACTCCAGCCACAGCTGGCCTTGGGGAAGCTCCCCAGGGGTTCACCATTGAACTGGGTGTATGGGCGAGAGTGAGTAGACCCAGCCGGCTGTTGGTCCACTGGGTACTGGTGTCAGTACCCAAAGGGCGGATGTGACTCAAGACATCTCAGTTTGGACACTAACACAGATGAGGCCCCTCATCTCCACCCGGCTGCACCACAGCATACAGGGCAGTCCCAATCAGAACCAACACCAAGGCAAAGTCCCCTTTTTCCCAGTGCTGGGCTCCTCCACTCAGCTCTGCCGGGTCCTCACTCCTGACTTGCTGTACCCTCAATCACTGCAGGTCCAAGCCTCCACACCCAGCTCTACCTCCATGCTGACCACAGCCCTCTCTGCTAGTCCTACACAGCTCTGCTGATGGATCCAGTCCTGACCTGCAGCGCCCCCTGCTGTTCCAGCCTTGGGCCCGCACATTACTCTGCCAGCGCCTCCGAGTCCTGGCTACACCAACCCTCATGGCTCTGCCAATGTGTCTCAGTCTTGACCTGCAGCGCCCCCTGCTGGCCCAGTGCTCTGCCTCTTTCAGGAAGATACGGCCAACTAATCTATCCAGTGGTGGCTTTGAGATGTGCAGACTGGGGGGAGGAGGGGGATCAGCCCTCCCCTCCTCCCACTAGCCCCTTTTGTTCCCTAAATTCAGCCAAGCTTCACTCCTCACTGCCCTGTGTCTCCCTCCCTCAGCTCTGTGCTTTTCTCCCCATTCCTCAAATGCCTGGAATCCTTTCTGCTATACGCCAAGCACCCTCTGTCTCTTCCAAGAAACCATCAAAGCATTCAAGCCCCAGTGGAGAGCTCCTGCTTCGAGCAGCTTGCCGGTTGGGCACCAAACGGGCACTCAGGTGATCCAAGTTCAAGACCCTGCTCTGCCATACACTTCTTGTGTCTCTTTGTCTGTCTGTACAATGGGGTAACAGCCCTGCCCTATATTAAATGCCGTGGGGTGCTCAGACAATGGAGGGCTGTCTAAGTATTCGGGTATTTGACCGGCCCCAAACTAATTGGTCAATTGAGCAGCCAAACAAGGTAAAAAATGGTCACGTATTTTATAGCACTGATTTATTAGAACAGAAACAACAGTAACAAAACAGAGTGAGGCTTTACGGCCTCCAGGAGGCTTCAGCTTAGATCAATACTGATGCCTAATGACACAAAATAAGTTACTGAACCGAGTTATTTTAACTCGGAAAAATGCAAAACAAGGAGACGAAGTGTTAAAGAATGACAGCGCAGCACCGCCCTGCTGGGGCACCTGCTTCCTTGCTGCAGTGCCTGACAATATTCGACTGCGGTCAAACCACAGGCAATCCGTTGACCACTCAATTAACACTACTTGACCGGCTTGCCAGGCCTACCCTGTACCATAGAGAATCACCCCCCTAAGTCAGGATTTGTACCGGGCTCCCCAGAAGCTCATGCTTTAGCCAATTGCACCAGTCAATCCTGCCCAAAAATGCAGGCTGAGATGCCGCTCTGGCATTACGGCTCATATTCTTCATGGTAATATGATGATGATATGATTGTGGCATAACAATTATGCAAGATCAGGCATGTGAGAGGTCGTTGGAAGGGGTAGGATTTGCTGAATATGGTTATCCAGTTTGTAGGCCTGGATCATTCTGGTGTCTGAAGTCAGGAATATTGTCTATGCATCTATTACAAATGTGCTGCCTAGTGGGTATTCCCCAGGTGTAATCAGTCTAGGTGGCTGGCGGAGAAGGGCCATTAGGGAGAACAATAGGTCTTAGAAGCTGCTAGTCTCCCACCGGGAAGCCTTCTTGGGGACACTACAAACAGCCTCTGACACATGGCTGCTAGGGCCCTGCAGAGACATGTGACCAAGTCACCTGGTACTGGACGCCATCATAAAATTTCCATTGAGAGGCGTGGGAACTAAAGGGGAGACAAAGGATTCCCGCCATTTGCAAATGCTATTTTAGGCAGGGGAGTGACATCATCGTGGTTCTCCTTCACTGACTCCTCCCCCCGTCATCCAAGATGACTGCTGGAAAAACCTGAGAAACAAGGACTGAACGGCAGGAGAAGGGCTGAACCCAGGCTGTACGGATTTCTAGCCTGTGAAAGGCATACCTGGGGTTTGAAGCTGCAAGCAAGTGGAGCTGGCCCTCAAGAATCTCTGCAAACTGCCTAAACCAACAATTAGGGTGAGAATTTGCTAGTCATATTCAATTTCTTCAGTATATTAAGCTTAGATTGTGTTTTCGTTTTATTTGCTAGGTAATCTGCTTTGATCTGTTTGCTATCCCTTAGAATCACTTAACATCCATCTTTTGTAGTTAATCCACTTGTTTTTATTTTGTCTAAAACCAGGGTGTTGAAATCATAACTTGGGGCAGAAAGCTGTGTATATCCCTCTCCACACTGAGGGAGGGGGCACATTTCATGAGCTTGCGCTGTCCAGTTCTCTGTGCAGTGCAAGATGGTATAATTTTGGGTTTATCCTTCAAAGGGTGGGGGGGGGGGGAGTGCACTTGAGCAACTGGGCAGTTCTTTAGCTGAGCCTTCCCATGCAGAGCTGATCTCAGCATCTGTGTGTGTGGCTGCAGCTGGTGTGCCCGACCTGTATGTGGGCTGGTAAAGTGCAGTCTGAAGCCTGGGAAAGGGCTTGGCAGGTTTGCCACAGCAGTACAGTTTATAGGTCAGGTGGGCTCAGTGGTAACCCAGTTCCAGGCAGCACCCCGGGGGGAAACCCGTCACAGCCGCCTAAGGGATGTGGCTGCCTGTGACAGAGTGCTGGGAATCAGCAACTGAACCAGCACTCTGGCCACTGTTTAACCAATGAGGACCTCAGGAGGGAAAAATGAAGGAGAGGGGTTCCTGATTACCAGATCAAATTGCAGCTAGGTCGCTAGTGAGTTAATTAGCCCCTTAACAAGGAGGCTGGATAAAAAGAGCACAGGAAAAAAGTGCAAGCAGGGGGAAGCACAAGAGAAGGAATGGCTAGGAGGGAGTTCCCTGGGAAGAGACACCTTTCCATTCCCACCTTTGGGGAAGGGGTAGTAAAGCCGCACAACATTGGAAATACTGTGACAGCACTAGTATGTAAAAGGTGGTGGAGTGAGACTGTGATAAATGAAGGGGGGGGGTGTAGCTTCCTTTTATGGACACCCAACCAGCCAGTTAGCTATCAAGTCCCTCCTGGGGGCTGTTCTCTGCTTGCTTTACCTGTGAAGGGTTAACAAAGTTCCCCAGGTAAAGGAAAAGGAGTGGGCACCTGACCAAAAGAGCCAATGGGAGGGCTAGAACTTTTTAAAACTTCTCTTTCTTTGGGTGTTGTCTCTTTCTGGGAAAGAGGGGAACAGAGGGCAGCAGGAATGCTGTGTAAGGCTTGAACCAGGTATGAAAATTCATCTTCCATACCTAGAAGAAATTATTGGACAGGGCACATTTAAATAGATGCGATTAGGTTTTGTTTTTTTATTTTGGCTTGTGGATCTCCTCTGTGCTAACCCCAGATGCTTTTGTTTGCTTGTAACTTTTAAGCTGAACCCCCGAGAAAGCTATTTTGGGTGCTTAATTTTTGTAATTGTTTCTTTTAAGATCTAGCAAAAAGCCTAAGTTCCAGATGTATTTTTTTCCTTTTTTAAAATAAAAATTTACCTTTGTTAAGAACAGGATTGGATTTTTGGTGTCCTAAGAGGGTTGTGCATGTTGTTCAGCTGTTGCCACCAGCTAATGTCCTTTGTTTTCTTTCTCAGCTCTTCCCCAGAGGGGGGTGGGGGGTGAAAGGGCTTGAGGGTACCCCACAGGGAGGAATTCCCAAGAGCTCCTTCCTGGGCCCAAGGGTTGGGGTTTTTTTGCATTTGGGTGGTGGCAGCATTTACCAAGCCAAGGTCAGAGAGAAGCTGTAACCTTGGGAGTGTAATACAAGTGGCCAGTATTAATTTTTAGAATCCTTGCAGGCCCCCACCTTCTGCACTCGAAGTGACAGAGTGGGGATTCAGTCTTGACAGAGACCCTGTAAATAAACTGCATGGTGGTATCTGCATGAGGAAGATCTCCGAGCGCTCTGTGCAGAGCCAAGATGACGGGAGCCATGGGTACCCTGTCACAATGCCCAGTTCTCATTCATCTTCCTGCAGACTGGGCTTCCAGACATCTTCCGGAGGCTTTGAAAATCTTAGCCATATCCAGGAGATGCTGCAATCCTCCCGCACACCTCGCTCGCTCTCACCTCCGTGCGCAGCTCTGCCAGCTTCTTGTCCATGCTTGAGCGAGCCCCCAGCTCGTCCTCCAGATCCTCCGAAATCCGCCCTAGTTCATCCTGGTGGAGCTCCTTCAGGATGTTCAGCTGTGGGGAGACAGACGCCGAGCGGTCACCACAGAACCAAACTGGCACCAAGTCCCAAACAGAGGGGAAAATGGGAAGCAGCTTGGGACTGATTTAGACCTAGAAGGGGGCCGGGGGTTAATTGTACCCAAGGGCATTCAAATCCACTTCTCAACTGGACCCACCTGTGAGGCCACAACCCGTGCTGGCAACCCTCCCTCTCCCACAGACCTGCTCTGGCCTTGTGCAAATAGCATCGCTGGGCCATTGGCACGCCAGAGTGGGCTCAGAGTCACTGCCCATGGCAGCAAGGAACATCCTCTGCACTAACCCCGCCTGTCCCTCCCGTGCCTTGCAGCTCAGATACCACGGGCATGGCCGGCTGCATACCTGGCCAGATTGATGGTGAGAATTCACAAGAGTAGAGCATCTGTGCAGCACCAGGAGGTTTTCCTGGAGCAGAGGCTCCCCCTAGTGGATATTAAGTATTAATGGTCTCAGGGCACACACGACGGAATGAAGGGTGTGATGGAAACAGCCCCCACCTCCCCATCCCGCAGCGCGGGCTGAGTTTTCCGCCACCTCGACTGGGCAGGCCTACGTGCGCACAAGTGAGATCGCTACACACGAGCGCCCTTCAGGGCGTGAAGGGCCCCCGCTCCTCTCCAGGGCCACAGAGACGAGCTCGCCCACCTGCTTCAGCACTTCCTGCTTGTTTTTGTTTAGCTCCTCGTACTTGATCTTCCACTGGCTGAGCTCGCCCTCCAGCTTCTCGATGCTCTTGCTGAGCGACAGCTTGTCCCTGGAAGAGACAACGGGGAGCCGGCTCTAGCAGGGCTGAGGCAAGGAAGGGCTCCAGACATGGGGGTATCCAGTCCATTCCTAGAGGGGAGGGGAGGCCTCTTTTGGAGAGCACCTTAAAACCACAGCTCTGGCCTCCCGTGGCCACGAAAGGCTGCAGTCGCCACCATGGGGTGATTCCACGGCTGCTCTGTGACTGGGGGTCGGGGGGGGAGACTATTTTCTCCCACGGGCCCCAGAGAGCTCCCAGCTACATGGGTTGAGTGCTGGAGAAATCCTTTGGCCCTTAAAGCATTCAGGTAAGACCCTCAGCTGGCCTAAATCAGCCAAACACCATTGACTTCAGTGGAGCTGGGCTGCTTGACAGCAGCTGAGGACCTGAGTTCTGAAACCGAGCTGGGGCATCGGAACGGGGGGGCAGGGCCTCATCACTTTTAAAAGTGGGAGGGCCATAAGGACGAGCGACGGGGCGGGGCAGAAAGGAGTGAGCAGGGGGGCAGGGTCTTGGAGGGAAGAGGTGGCACGGGAGCGGGGGGGAGGGGGGAAGAGACGGCATGGGGGTGGAGCCTCGTGGGGAAGGGAAGGGGCGGCGTGGGGGCAACATCTTGGGGAGAAGGGGTGACAGGCAGGGCCATGGTTCTGGCGCTGGTGACCCCCCCCCTTTTAGGGAACATCCACTGCTCCTGATACTGAGTGCACTGCATTTTTCCCCAGACGCCTGCTTCGATGCTGGGTTTGGTTTGCACAAACCTGCCCTTTGGGTTGATCCATGTGAATTCACACCCTTTGAGTTTTGGGTGCATATGGCTGCCCCAGTTCAAAGCAAGACCCTGGAAAGCACCAAGCATCCCCTGCTCTCAGGCTGAGACCATGACCTGGGCAGCCAGGCCACGTGGGGATGGTTTGAAGCTGGACTCAGATCCTCTAGAGAGGTTTGCAAACCGTAGGGAACCTGAGGCAGGTTTCAAGTCCAGCACTTAGCTGCCAAGACTAAATATGAGCCCCCTGGCCTGCCCTGGGTGTCATGTGAGCGGGCAGGAAGTGATGCAACAGGAAGCACTCACTCCCGCTCCTTGAGCAACACTTTCTGGGACTCATCCAGCCTCAGCTTCAGTGCAGTCACTTTGGTGGCATCTTCCTCGATGACGCTCATGTCCTCCCAGAGCAGCCGGTTCCTCTCCGGGCGAGTGAAGGACGTCCGGACGCTGACTGAGCTCCGCTGGTCCCAGCACTCGGGCCCTTCTTGTTTGCTCTTCAGGATGTTTTCCATCAGCTCAAACTCCTGGAACGACACGGAGGATCGTCAACAGCATGACCACGCTCCCGAGCCATTGGGCTTTTCAAACATCCAGGATAGATCCTGCGATAGACACAGCCATCCAGTCACTTCCTTCCCACCTACCCACTAGTCTGTCTCCTCGGGCACCACCTTCGCCCAGCTCCTAGCGACTGGCCCTGGCAAGCCCCTTTTCTGAAAGAATTGGCCCACCAAGGTCCTTGCTCAACTGGGTCAATGCCGCTCAGGGGTGGGGCCGGGGATGAGGGGTTTGGGGTGCAGGAGGGGGCTCTGGGTATGGGGGGCTCAGGGCTGGGGCAGGGGATTGGGGCATGGGCTTACCTCTGGCAGCTCCCGGTCAGCGGCACAGCCGGGGTGCAGAGGCAGGCTTCCTGCCGGTCCTGGCAGCACGTCCAGCTCCTAGGCGAAGGCACACAAATGGCTCCGTGCAGCTCTCATTCACAGGTACTGCCTCCCCCAGCTACCATTGGCCGGGAACCAGCCAATGGGAGTGTGGAGCTGGTGCTCAGAGCGGGGGCAGCTCGCGGAGCCCTGTGGCTCCCCTGCCTAGGAGCCGGACCTGCTGCTGGCCACTTCCAGGGCGCAGCGCGGTGTCAGAACAGGTAGGGACTACACTGCCTTAGCCGGGCAGCACTGCCGACAGGACTTTTAATGGCCCGGTCGTGGTGCTGACCAGAGCTGCCGCAACCCAGTCCCTTCCATTCCGCGACCCAGTACTGGGTCGCGATCCACAGTTTGAAAACCATTGCACTAGGCCACATTGCCTAAAAATGCATTTTAGGCATTCTGCACTGTTTGACTGTACAAAGTCCAATCAACATATTGGCTTCACACTGTTTGAACATAAGGAAATTAAATGCAAAAACCTTCGTTAACCGCATGTCATGCTTGAGATTTTCCATACCCAGGTGTCGGGTAAGTTACGGTCGCCACAACCTCTGCATCTCTGTCCCATCACTCAGATCTAGAAAGGCATTCAAATGAACCCCCCACCCCATATAGAACTGGAGGGGGAAACACCGTGGCAAATTACAGTTGCTGTGGGAACTGTATCATTGAACGTTCTGATTTTTGTGCATGTACAATCATCAGCTCAAACAGGCCTTTACTTCTAATTCACAGCACCCTGCAAGTGCATTTCTTTTGATACAGGCCATCTGGTCCTCTGAAGAGGGACAATCCCTATTCATTTTCTTGAGCAAAATTAATATTATTTTTCACTCCGCTCCTGCAGGAAACGATCCCCATTGAGTGCATTTCAGTGGAGTGGGAATGACTTTATTTCCCCCCCCATATACCACTATGAATAGCTTCCAAATGTTGGCAGATGAAACCCGGCAACCCAAGCGTTCATGACAGGGGCCAGCCATGGAGATTTGCCCTCAGACATCAGGATCACACCCTAGTCCAGCACAAAAGAGGAGGGAGCAATCCGACAAGCAGGACACATAGCTGGACAGCTGACCTGATGCCTTTATATAGATCCCTCCCTTGTCTCTGGAGGAGGAAGGGACAGAGGGGTCTGGTAGACTAAACAGGATGGTGAGATGAAGCTAAACTCAAAGCAAGGGAGCATGCCGAGCTGTCCTGCCCTTAACCGGCTGTGTGCGCTCTGTCTGCCCAAGGGTAGAAGAGAGGAACAACCAGGATCTGTTTTGCAGAAGCACAAAACTCCAGTCCTCTGGCTGCCCTTCCAGATCTCAGACACGCTGGCCGTTCGTGTCAGCCTCCGGCTGGGAGAGGCCTCCCTTATAGCTAGCGGGTTATGTGGATGAAGGGGAATAGTCTGGATCTGGTGTCTGCCCCCCCTTGGAATGCGCTCAGGATACAGCCCCTGGCAGAAGGAGAACCCAGAGTGGAGTTCTTGCTCATTTCGAAGGGACTCAGGGCACAGAGTTGCCTCTGGGAGAACTTCATTTCTACCCCCACCTGGAATGGGCTTTCTGTTTCAGGGCTGAGACACCACAGTGCCAGGTGTTAAATGCTAGGTACACCTGCCTTGGTGCAGACGAACCTGGAGCAGGCTCCGGGTATAGTCACTAGGAGACTAGCCCAAAACAGATTTCCTCGCCGCCTGTGAGTGGACTCGGGATAATCCCCAGCCGGTGAGGATGCTGAATTTGGTCTCTCTGGGTCGAGAGGAGAGTCTCAGCTGGGCCTTCTTAGTATAGCCTTGGGACACAGGCACCAAACCACCCGGCTCCTCTAGCAGGGACAGGGCTGTTCCCTGATGACCACAATGCAAATACATTTGCTCCTCGACTGGAAATGTTACAGCTTGTAAAATCCCTGCTGGTCCCACCCCAGAGCCCCCCAGCTAGCCAGGGAGGAGAGGGTCCTAGCACCGGGCCGAGCAAGGGGGAGACTGGGAGGGGAAGCAGGGGACAGGACCACCAGGGCTCGTAGGAGTCTAGCCTGCTTTGAAAAAAACACACCCCGTTCTGAGCGCGAACGTCACTCCCAAGGCCCGTGGAAGCTGTTCAGGAGGGGGGTTAGTAGCCAAGGAGAAGGGACTGATCATATGGACCCTCCTAGTCACAGATGGGGAAACCGAGGTACGGAGCGGGGAACTGACTTGTCCAAGATCACCCAGCTGGCCAGGGGCTGAGCCTGGAACAGAGCCCTGGTTCCCAGTCCAGTGCCTTGTCCACTGGATCATGCCGTGTCTACCTGCGGGCGCATCCATTTGCGCACAAAGGTGCCGTGCATGCACTTGGGGTGATGGAAACGGTCCCCTTCTCCCACCTCACCTTATTTTTACTCAGCTTATCGGAGCCCACATCCCGCACGGGTTCCTGCTCCTGGGAGCCCTCGTTCTCCTTCTCCGAGGCCACCCTGTTGTCCAGCTCCTTCTCCTGCTCCTCCTCGCTCTCCCCTTTCAGCCGCGCCACCTCCTTGCCGAGCTGCTCGTTCTCGTTCAGCACCTCCTGCCGCTCCCGCTTGAGGCTGGTCAGCTCCTTGGTCAGGGTCTCCAGCTTCTGCCGCAGCTGGCGCACCTCCTCCCGGGCTTTGTTGCGCTCCGCCCGCACCTTGCTCCACTTCTCCCGCCAGTTGGCGGTGCAGTCCGACCACCAGCGCATGGTCTTCTCCATCTGGGCCGCCCGGGCCCGGGCCTCCTCCAGCTCCCGCAGCCGGAGCTCCTCCCGGCTCTCCCAGTCCCCGTCCAGACACACGGCGCCCAGCAGGGGGAGCTGGGGCGGCCCCGGCGAGGGCGTGCCGCTCTTCGGGGTGGGGGGCATGGAGTCCGGCAGGCTCATCGTCTCGGGCTGGGGGCTGCCGAGGATGTTGAGGAGGCTGGCCCTGGAGAGCTGAGGTGAGTCTGCCAGGCGAGAGCTGGTGCTTTGACTCATGGCGGCCGAGGGGCAAGTCCACCTCTCAGATTTTGGGTTACAGCAAGTTCTCTCTCATCTACTGCCACTGGGCAAGCGGTGGGGAATGCTGGACCCAGACTTGCTGTGCACAAACATACAACAGGGAGCAGTTACAGCGTTAGATCAAGGGGAGCCCTATCTATCCCAGGTCAGAAACAGGCCAGGCATGATGGGCTGAGCAGCCAGACGCCCTCCAAAAGGTGCCTCAGACGAAAGGCAGACATGATCCAGCCTCTGCTGCCTAGCCCCTGAGAGGCACAGCAGACGGCACCCCAGCGGAAGGGGAACGGCCTGCTACCTCCTTGCTGGGAGACAGCTGGCGGCGGAGGGTCGTCATGCTCTTGTTTTCATGCGTGGGAGACACTTTTCTTGCTGGGCTAGTTTCTCAGGCGACAAGATGATCCTGGAGCCCTGAAAGGAGGAGGAGAAAGATGAGACGTACAAACGGCTGCTTGTTCCTCAACCCAACCCAGGACTTTGCACTTCTCATCTCACCCCTCAAGCTCCGGTAGCAACACCTCGATGCATAGCTTTGGATTGATCGAAGGGGGACCTATCGAGGGGAAGGGCAAGAGGCCACCTAGCACCAAACTGGGCATCATGGGAGAGAGGACAACTGGGAAGGGACATACTGGTGCTTTGCTGCTTCTGTAGTGGACACTTGGAAATGCTGCAGCTATTGACAGCAACTAGTCACTGCTCCAGTTCTGATCCCAGCTAGCTGTTCACTAAGGCCCCAGGCCAAAAGTAACCGGTGATTCTGGTGGCCTCAGGTTTTTGGAGGCCCAACTTGGGACATCTTGAAGGGGGCTGATTTCCAGAGGGTGGGTGCTTGGCGCTTTCTGAAATCATGTCCCTTTCAGGCGTCTCAAACCGGGCATCCCTGATTCCTGGTCATGTTTGAAAATCTTGGTCACATTTTCAAGCGGCCACTAACTTTGGATACCCAAAATGAGAGAGCTAGGGCATCACTGCTAGGAGGTGCTGAGCGACCCCAACTCTGGTGGAAGCTAGTGGGAGTTGTGGGGATTCAGCATCTCTGAAAACCAGCCCCCAGGTGTCTCCAGCTGGCCTCCGAAGAGCAGCCCCCAAAATCGGGAGCCCCCTTGTGAACGTGTTGATCTAAACTTTCCTGGGGTTCGAATATTATGGAAAGGAATTTGGTTTTGTCTCACTCTCTTCACCCCAAAGGTCTCCTGCAGCAATTTCCATAGGGATGATACCATGGTCTAGGTAAACTTTCTGTTGCCTCAGCACTGGGGGCTGGACTAGATGACCTCCTGAAGGCTCTTCGCCCTATGCTTCTATACAGGACAACGTGACCGTATTAACATTTGCTCCCTCAGCAATTTCCAGTGCACAAGCTAAAACGTGCCAGCCCTGCCCAGCCTGCCTGGAATCTAGAAATCCAACTACATCCTTTCTACCCCTTCCACTACCAACGGAAAAGAGTCTCCGGTCAGAACTGAGCCTGAAATTCTATTGATGTGCCAACCAGAATAGAACCTGACTCACCTTCCCAGGCTAAGAAGAGTAAAAACGTGTTCTGCCAATAGAGTTGACACAAAGGGAGCTGATCAGTCATAGATTTCAAGGTGGAAAGGGACCATTTTGATGATCTATTCTAGTCTGACCTCCTGCATTACACAGGCCAGAGAATTTCCCCCAGCGATTCCTGTAATGGAGGGAATTCTTCTTCTCTCCAGCAACTTGTGGTTAAGCTAGAACGTGTCTTGCCGAAAAGCATCCCATCTTGATTTAACGACTCAAGTGACGGAGCATCTACCCCATCCCTTGGCGAGCTCTCCCAGCAGTTAATGACGTTGCATCTTATTTCCAATTTGAATTTGTCCCTGTTCCAGCTGCTGAATCTTGTTTTGCCTTTATCTGCTCCCTAATATCACAGATTTTTATAGACCACCATCAAGTCACCTCTTGGCCTTCTTTTTGTTAAGCTGCTGCCTAAAGAGGTGTCTTTTCTGCACAGTCCCCCTTTCTGACCCTAGCTGAAAGCTCACAGTTTGCACCCATCTTGGGGTTTCTTGGAAACGCCTTCGCAGAGCTTCCAGCGGCACATGTGTGCAAGTGGAGTCGTACTGCATTCCACGGTGCAGCCAGGACGAGGGGGCCCAGGCCAGGAGCTGGCGCAAGCTCCGGGGGGCGCGGAGAAAGCAGCGCTTGGGGGAAGGATTCTCAGCACACACACAGGAAGCGTGCCCAGCCAGCGGGACGAGCAAATGCAGAGGGATATAAATGGAGCGAGTGAGAGACGCACACACGTACACGAGGAATTGGCAACGCCAAGGTGCCATTTGCGGCTAGCGAGCCTGCCAAGAGCCTGTCATCAGAGGCAGCCGCGCAGCGTCTCTGCTGGCAGGGGTGAGGCAGGGACAGAGAGCTCGCTCTGTAAGGCAAGGTGGGCTGCAGCTGGTTGGCTGGGACGTGTCTCTGGAGGGTTGGGTAGCCCAGCCCATCTGGGGGCGAAAGCCTCAGCTAACATTCTGGAAAGCGGATTGCTACAGGGGGCCAGGCCCATGCTTAGGCATGCGTGCTGCATACGCGGCAGCACCAGCCCCACGACCAGCCCTATCCCCCAGCCGGCTCCCCCACGGGCTGCGCCCACTGCAAGGGCCAGGGCCGTCCCTAGGGGGGGCGCGGGGCCCCGGATAACTCCCTCTGCCCCACCTCTTATCCTCCCCCCCACTCTGCCCCAGCCTGCCCCCATTCCACCTCTTCCCCCAGCGACCCCGCGCTCACCGGCAGCAGTGGGAAGCGGAGCAGCCCCCCCCTCCGCCCCCCCCAGCCAGCTCTACTCCACCAGCTCCCAGCCGCGGCACTCCGCTGCCCGCCGCCGGTGAGTGCAGGGAGGTTGAGGAAAGGATGCCCTCTGCACTTGCTGGCGGCGGGAAGTGGAGCGACCCCAGCCCGCTCCGCTTCCTTTGCCCCGGCCCCAGCCCTGTCGCTGGGGTGGGGGGGTTAGGGAAAGGTTCCCCCCCCCCCCGCCCTGACTCACCGGTGGTGGGACGCAGCTGG